CCCCCCCCCCCCCCCCCAGGCTTGTCACATCTCTTAGGGGTTAAAAAAACATCCTTAAGGGTGTTAAAATTGACATTTAGAATTTTGGAACCTCTTAAAAAGACTTTTGAAATCTTTTAGGGTTATTTATGAAAATTTCTGACCAGCACACCTGACACTTTTACCCCAGAGTCCCCCTGGCATGGGGCCGCCACGCATACCTTTCCTAGAATCATCGTATCCTATTTGCTTGATAGTGTTGCGGACTATCTTCTGGTAATCGATATAAGCTTTCGATGTGATTTCACCTAATATTGCAATCATCCCTGTCTTAGCAACACTTTCTAAGAAAAGAAATAGAGAACGAGTTACCATAAAGATATGCCAGAAAGTTGGGATAAAATAATTGAACAAGTTCTTGCAAAGATTTAATTAATTTTTTAACCTGAGGAAAGGCTGCATGAAAACTTTTTCAGCTTGGCCTCAATGTTTTCTGATTTTAGACCAAGAGAATAAGATTCTTTGTTTGAGTTTCAGCCAAATTCATGCATCTTGTCATGTACAACCATAAACAAAGAAATGATGCTTTAGGGAATGACATATGCAGCCACCCCAGCTCATTTTTAGACAAATTTGATAGGAAATATAGGCTGTGCAAGTTCTAAATATAGGAAAATATGGGATTTTTTTCCCAAAAATATATGCACTTTAATTATAGGAGCTAGAATAGCGCAACCAGGGATCTTGCAGGGAGGGTGCACAGGCAATGATTTGCAGAACGCCAAAAAAAAAACATAACCAAAAAAAATGGAGCACCATTACCTTCGCCAAATATGCTAAACAGTGTAAAACATAAATGCATCACTGCACTCAGCAGTCGTCCTATTTAAAGGAAACATAGGAGGTTTTCTTTAAATATAGGCTCTTTATAAGATCCTATACAAATTATAGGAAATATAGGATATGTAGGAGGTCTGGGATGCCTGCATATGGTCATGGTTCAAGCAGCTTCAATGCATTTATAACTTGAATTAAGTATTCATTAGTGGAGAGAAAAAATATGGTAAGCCATATTGAGAAGGTGAAGACATATGAAGCCTTCTTGAAACATTTACAGCAAATGCATCATTCTGTTATGCATCATTATGTATGAGTCAATTCCAAAGGTTCCCATCCCCCGGCAACCCCCGGGCAACCCCCCAGGCATTTGACTTTTTGAAAAAAAATTGATCAAATGCTCCACTGTCCAGGCTCCACTAAGTGGTCAAATGCCCACCCCTCCAGTCCAATGAATCTCTAATTTTACCTAAAAAGTACAAAACTGAGCCTGTATACCTCCAACAAGTTTAATGATAAGTACTTTTTGAAATCGTTTTATCATTTATAGCTTTAATTTTATAAGAATCGAGACTTGAAATTTATCTTTGCCGACTTTGGAATTAGCGTTAAACATATTTATTGTTTTGGACTCCAAAAACTTATCTCCATCTACTCGTTCCGTACTGTCATCCACATTGAAAACTTTTGCTTCTTTTTAACTTTTAATTCCAAGCTTTCTTTCCCCGTTTCTCAAAGAAGCGAAGAGTATAAGATTGTATTTTGAAACCAAATTTTTGTACAGTGGCGATTCGATTTCAATGAGATCGTAATCAATTCGAAGTTCAACTAACCTTTCTTTTGAAGAGAGTGCGCAAAGGGATCCACCAAAAAAGCTTTTCTAACTTCTCTTGTGCCATCCCAGATTTTAAACAAAGGTATTTGAATTTTTTCTTAATTCACAGGCAAACCAGAGTCCTCTTAGCACGATCAAAGCGTAAAATTTTGCAATACGCTAATTTATGCAAATTAGATAAGGGCCGCTATATTTAGTCAAAAGTCAAATGCCCGCCAGTTCACTCTACGGAACTTGACTATGGTCAAATGCCCGGGGTATGCCCGGGGTATGCCCGGAGTATGCCCGGAAGGGATGGCTATAGCTATTCACTATGGACCACCCCATAAAGCACGTTGGAATGCAAGCTCAAAATGGATCATATCGTAAACACTTTGCTGAATTGTGTTACGGTCACCAAAAAGTTCGGACATCATTCTTGGATTCCTACACAAATACTGAGTTTAAAGAGAAAATTTAGATAGATTTATTTAGTTAGCTCTCGTAACAGCAATAAGAAAAGCTTTAAGCAAGTTAGAAAAATGATATTTTACTGGTATTTAGAGAACTAACTAAACAAAGTAATAGTTCATTTAAGAAAGTCAGCACATTTGCACGGAAATCCGAGAGCAATGTCCGAACTTCTAGGTAACCGTAATACAATACAACACAATTTATACCACGTGGCGGCTAGCGCCGTAAAGGTGGTTGTCATGCACCGAGTCACGTGGGTGAAAACCGAGAATTCTATTGACTTTAGACTCTAATTATTTGTGCACACATGGATATTCATTGTTAACGTCTCAAGAAAAGCCAGCTATAATTAGGAAGATTAAGCTTATCACACTATTTCGAAAGGTTTCAACACCATAGTGTTCCACGTTTCCACTTTTAAAAAAAAGTTCGATCAGTAAGTTAAGACTTAAATGTTCTTGGAGAAAATTTTAAGCTCTGAACGTCGAGGGTTCAATTCTCGCATTTATGAAAGTCAAGCTTTGTCTAGATTAAAAATAAATTAATTAATACCACAAGCGACTTTAGCATCGGGATCTTCCTTGAAATGTGCATCCAAAATGGCATCTGATATCTGGTCACACATTTTATCTGCAAAATTTTAAACCATGCACTGAAATTATCATATTACAGGTACAATTTTGATAATCATTTAAATAATGTGAATTTACCTGGATGTCCCTCGCCTACAGACTCCGATGTGAAAAGGAAAGTATTGTTAGACGTATCTGGTGTATTCATTTTGGTATTTT